TTCATTATCTATCTATTCTTTCCCTACTCTCCCTTCTGCTCCCACCAAGATATCCATCCAATTGTTATAACAATGATCTTATGTATTATTTGTCCTGTTGTGAACTGAGATGGGTTCCTTCAACATAATATCTTTCATACCCATCCATGCTGTGTAGTGTTTTATGGATTTAATGTTTTTCAATGCTGCATAATATTCTGTTGCATGGATGAACCACATTTTTTCTATGCATTTGTTTGGTGATGAGATCTTGGGCTGTTTCCGTCTCTTTGCTATTGTAAATAATACTGCAATAACATGGGTGTGCATACATCTGTTGGTGTCATCCCTCTGATTTCTTTAGAGTATATTCGCAGTAATGGGATAGATGAGTCAAATGATATTTCTATTTTCAACCCTTTAAGGAAGCACCATACTGCCTTCCACAGTGGTTGTACCATTTTATATTCCCACTAGCACTGTATTACAGTTCCAATCTCTCCACATCCTTGCCAGCATTTGTTCATTTTTCTGTTGGACTTTGCTATTGTTGCTGGAGTGAGCTTGATAACTCATTGTTTTGATTTGCATTTCTCTAATAGCTAGTGATTTTGAGCAATTTTTGGCATGTTGTTGACTATGTGACTTTTTTTTTTTTTAGTGAAGTGTCTATCTCTATCTCCTGCCCATTTTGTAATTTGGTTCTTTTTCTTGTTGAGGTGCTGGTATATTCTATAAATTTTAGATATGAGCCCCTTATCAGTTATGTCATTGCCAATCCTTTTTCCTCAGTCTGTGGGCTTCCTTTTTACTATAACCTTGCCTTTAAATGATAGGTGCTAGGGAAGCAGAGGAAACATTGGAGTGGTTTGTTGGGGGCAGGATTTGTTTGGCTGATTTATTGGGTTTTGCTTTTTTCAGTTTTTGCTATCAGAAGTTAAGACTCCACAGGGAGCTGTGAGGCAAAATTTTTAGTTCTTGTCAAAGGTGTACATGTGTCCAAAAGAACAGCAGAATGTGTCACTATCAATGTCATTTCCCCTTGATTACAGAGTTCATTTGACAACCATGGTAAACTGTCTCTTAATTTCTTATCCAACAATATCAGATAAATGTATTATAAAAATAATAAAAATGGCATGTTCTTTTTTTAAAAAAATTAAAAAATTTCTTTAATGACTCTAAACATGTCAACAGGACTGTATAGTACCAGTTTTATTGTTGTTGTTGTTGTTGTTGTTATGTGCCGTCGAGTCACTTGTGACTCATAGCGACCCTGTGTACAACAGCCCTAAACTCTGCTCTGTCCTGTGCCAATCGCACTGTCTCTGATACACCCATCCCGATTACCCTAGTCACTGAATCAATCCATCTCATAGAGGGCCTTCCCCTCCTGCGCTGTCCCTCCACCCTACCAAGCATGATGTCCCTCTCCAAGGACCGGTCCCTCCTTACAACATGTCCAAAGTATGTTAGACGGAGCCTCAGAATCCTTGTTTCCAAGGATCTTCCCAGTTTAACCCTTTCCAGGATGAATCTGTTTGCTTTCCTAGCAGTCCATGGTACTCTCAATACTCTTCTCCAGCACCACATCTCAAAGGCATCAATTCTCCTTCTATCCTCCTTAGTCATTGTCCAACTCTCTGATGCATAATAAGTGATAGCAAAGACCATGGCCTGTATCAGACACACCTTAGTCTCCAGAGAGACACCATTGCTCTTCAGTACTTTGGAGAGGTCCCTAACAGCAGACTTTCCCTTGGCAATGCGCCTTTTAATTTCCTGGCTACTGGTGCCAAGAATGTTGACTGTGGAGCCAAGGAAACTAAAGCTGTGAACAATGTCAATCTCTTCACCATCCATCCTGATGCTACTAATTGGTCCAGTGGTGAGAATCTTTGTCTTCTTGACATTGAGCCTCAATCCATATTGGAGGCTGCAGTCCTTGACCTCTGCAGCAAGGACTTCAGGTCCTCCTCAGTTTCAGCAAGCAGGGTTGTGTCATCTGCATAACGCAGATTGTTGATAGATCTTCCACCAATCTTGATCCCACATTTCTCCTCATAGAGCCCAGCTTCCCGGATAATCTGTTCTGCATATAAGTTGAAAAGGTATGGAGACAGGACACATCCCTGGCATACGCCCTTCCTAATTTTGAACTATGCAGTGTTTCCTTGCTCTGTTCTGATGACTGCCTCTTGGTTCAAGTATAGATTTCACATTAGCATGATCAAGTGTTCTGGGATTCCCATTCTTCTGAGAGTCAGCCACAGTTTGTTATGATGCACACAGTCAAACACCTTGGCATAGTCAATGAAACACAGATATACATCCCTCTGGTATTCCCTGCTTTCAGCTAAGATCCATCTAACACTAGCTACAATATTCCTAGTACCACGACACCTTCTAAACCCAGCCTGGACTTCTGGCAGTTCTCTGCTGATGTGCTATTCCAGTCATTTTGGATAATCCTCAGTAGAGTCTTGCTTGCATGTGAAATTAATGATATTGTACTATAGTTTCCACACTCTGTTGGGTCACCCTTCTTTGGGATGGGAACAAATATAGATCTCTTCCAGTCAGTTGACCAAGTGTTTGTTCTCCAGCATGTTCTTTTTAAAGACCCCAAATTGTCTACTTTTATAATGTTAGAAGAAACTCAAGATTTTATCAGGGCCATAAATCACATAATGAGGCAAGAAGGGAAAATGGAGGATAATACAGATGTTTTAAAAGAGAAGATTAGAGAAGTAGTAGGAACAGTGGGGTAGAAGTGAGGCAGCTGTATAAGAATCCACACTATTTTGCCCTGAGATACTTAGCAACCTCCAGTGATGTCTTTGATGAAGAGAGGAGGTAAATGGAAGGGAATGTTAGTGTTTCTACATGCATCGTAAGCCATTTTATTTATATGTTATGTATCAGTAACTTTAATACTAATCCACTTGGCTATGATTATATTGCAATAACAAACAGTTTAGAAGCTGTATGTGTACTGGTGTCATAATTTCTTTTTTGTCTTCTCAATTTAGGCTATCCTAGTCTTTTCACTCTTTTTTTCTTGTGATTTTCTCAACTCTAAACCCTAAATGATTTGGTATTTTGGTTTCCTTCCTATAATCATTAACTCTGTGATAATTATTTATTCACAGCCCTGGTAGTTTGAATGTAAGGAAAAAAGTTAAAAAACCCAAGAAAAAGTTAATATAAGTTATGATACATATCTGTAATTGAGAAATGAGAATGAATATTACAGAGTTTATTGCTGCTTGATTTTGAAACAGAAAGCCATGTTTGGAGGAGATCCCCAAATTTTGATTCATTTATTTATTCATTAATAAGTAAATAAATGAACACATTTTATATTCAATGAGTCCGAAATTAAATATATTACCTGCCTTCCCTTTCAGTAAACAAAAAACAAAACAAAATGAAAATTTAAACTAAAAGAAACATGGAAATTATCAATACTTATCTATACAGGTAGAAATGGACACAAGATATAACAAGAAAGAAATAGAGGTCTACTACCAAATTTAACTTAAATGAATAACAAGTTATTCATCTCTGATTACATTTGAAATAGCTCATTTGCACTGAAATCATGACACTTTTGTAAAACAGACTGCTTACCAACAACCTAAAAGTGTCAAATAATTTTTTTAAAAAAGAAACAATAGTATTTTCTTATTTCCATCAAAGAATGTTAAGACAAAAATCTTGTTATCAAAACAAGAATAAAAATGACAATATTTGCATATGAAACAGAATGTCTTAGTCTCATCTGGCTGCATATATTTCATACTCAGATTCTAATTGTAGTGGTTTGTTTGTATGTTTGTTTGCATTACAAAAAATGACCACAATCTTCTATATAGTACAAATGGTTAAATGCTTGACTACTGAAAAAAATATTGGTAGTCTAAACTCACCCAGGAACACCTCAGAAGAACAACAGCCTGCTTATTTCTTTCCAAAAGGTAACAATCATAAAACCTGTATGCAAAACATTCTTTTCTGCACACAAGAGATAAGTCACCATGACTCAGAATCAAGCAAATGACAAAGGATTCTGCATTTAAAATAACTTCCTCTCCAAATGGCAGAAAAGAATGTAAAATATAAAAAAAATTCATTTCAGATACCTCAAGCAACCAGTTAGTTTGCTTGTTCTCTTAGAAGTTGACATAGACATAGCATTTGTGAGGAACAAAGAATAAACACATCAATCATTTTAATAAAAGATAATTTTCATAAGTATATAAAGTCAGATATTCAAAGAGTGAACCATTTATCAAATATCTACTTTTTCTATAACAGTGTAAGCATCAAAAATTATCATTATATAAGAGAAAACCTATATGCTCTTTTGAAAAGGTCACTTATTATCATATAAAAATTAATTGTCCAACTATAAATTACACAAATATTCATCACTTAGTGTCAAGGATAGAAGTGGATAGAGACAAATACAAATATTCCTTTTGTAAGTCTCCTGACCAGGCCTCATAATTTCTACACTTTGATTTGAAAGACATGGATAAAATTCTTTGTCAGCTTAGCTGCTCAGGACTCTCTGGTTTGACAACTATGATATAGTCAACCTAAGTCAATACATTGAAAGCTAAAATGAGTTGAAGTAGAAGAACTCAACATTTATTAATATTTCCTTTGTCCTTTCCTTATTAACTATATCATTCTACTTTTGTCACAAAACTTAGCTGAGAAAATAACATAGTAAAGCCAGGACTTTACTGAAACGAGAATAAAAAAAAAGTAATTGAAGCCACGGAGGTAATTTCAGTGGATGACAAATTTAAATATAACATTGAAAAACAATTCATTCAAAGTCCAACAATTTATAATAAATAAAATATCATTTTTTCCTACAATGCAAAGCTATTCTACTTCATACTTACAACCTGTTCTGAAAGTTAAAAACTTACTTGACTGTCAGTTCTTTATATTTTATAATGTTTTCTTTGTTTCAGAAACATGCTGCCCATTAACCATTGTGTGCAATGGACCTGCAAAATCAGACCACAGTAACAGAGTTTACCTTGACTGCTTTCCCTGCTCTCCAGAAGCTTCAGATTTCCCTCTTTGTAGTTCTCTTGTTTATTTACATGCTTACTCTGACAGGAAATATTGTCATCATTTCCCTTATATGGGCTGATTCTCACTTTCAAACTCCAATGTACTTTTTCCTTGGCAATTTGTCCTTTTTAGACATTATGTATACTACTTCAGTTACTCCAAAGCTATTAGCCTGTCTCCTAGAAGAGAAGAAAACTATCTCTTTTGCTGGATGCATCACTCAGACATACTTCTTTTTTTTCCTCGGGACAGTGGAGTTCATCCTCTTGGCTGTCATGTCCTTTGACCGCTATGTGGCCATCTGTAACCCCCTGCGATACACCATCATCATGAACAGTAGAGTCTGCCTCCTCCTGGTTCTGGGATGCTGGGTGGGAGCCTTCCTGTCAGTTCTGTGTCCCACTATCATAGTGTCCAGGTTACCTTTCTGTTATAAAGAAATTAGACACTTCTTCTGTGACATTGCCCCTCTGTTACAGGTGGCCTGTATTGATACTCATTTCATTGAGAAGATAAACTTCCTCTTATCTTCTTTCATACTTCTGACCTCACTGGTGCTCACCACTGTGTCTTACATCTACATCATTACAACCATCTTACGCATCCCCTCAGCACAAGGACGTCAGAAGGCCTTTTCCACCTGTGCTTCTCACATCACAGTCGTCTCCATTGCCTATGGAAGCAATATCTTCATGTATGTGAGGCCCAGCCAGAGCCATTCACTGGATTTTGACAAAGTGACTGCTGTTCTCACCACAATGGTTACACCTCTGCTAAATCCCTTCATTTACAGCTTGAGGAATGAAAAGGTAAAGGAAGTTTTAAGAGAAACAATCAGCAGGCTTATGTTGTTATTGCACAAAAAAACTTGAACCTTCAATACAGCTGGCCCAGAATGATGCTCAATAATTCTCTGATTCAATATGGAGAAAGGCCAAATATAAGACCTGTGGGAAAGTATAAATAGGGATGGTGCTACATTAAAGGTTAAATGGTATAATCAAGATCCAGAGAAATCAAATTAGCTACAAAGATAATGCCATGTTTCGAACTCTATTATTGGGTTGCCTCATGCATGGAATGCCATGAGCTAATGAAAACGTACTAAAGTTAAAAATCTTGAATCTTAAGTCTGGTTCAAATATTCTTTAAACATATAACACTTTACTGTGTCTGGGCCTTCGTTTTCTCAACTATAAAGTAGGGGAAATTGGTTTTGCCCTACTTCTCTTATTTTGTAATGGTAGAATTTACAAAGATAGTCTAAGCAATGCAATCGTTGGGATTACAAAAGTTGTTGCTGTTGGGTATTGTGGAGTCCATTTTCACTCACAGCAACCTTATGCAAAATAGAAGGGAAAGCTGGCTAATCCTAAACCATCCTCAAAATCTCTGCTGTGCATGCATTTATTGTTGCAGCCAGTAAGTCAATCCATCTCACTGACAATCTTTCTATCCTTTGGTAATCTCTATTTTTCCAAATGTTCCTCTTCAGGTACTATCCCCTTCTGATAACTTGACCAAAATGTGTGTCATGATGTTCTTACACTTTTATTTTTAAAGAACATTCTGGCTATACTTCCTACAAGATGTGTTGTTTCTTATTTTGTCAGCTATGGTTTGTTTTCTATTCTTTGCCAACACCACAGAACAAAGGCATTAATTCTTCTTATGGTAAATTTGTTCATTTTGCAACTTCCTCATGTAAATAGAGTGATTGAAAACATTATGGTTTGCCACAGAAGCACCTCAGTCTTTCAGGTGACATATTTGCTCATTAGTATTTTAAAGAGATCCTTGGCAACAAAGAATGGCAGATTATATTCCCAAATTCATATTAGTATAGACAGTAAATACATCCACCTTGCAGAGCTATTGAGGGGGAAGAAGAGAGAAAAGCGAATAAACAGAGGAACAGGCACTTACAAAATAAAAACAAGAAAAGTAGTAATAAAGCCAATGATGCAATACACTGAAATATGTACACAGATCTCTCTCAGAATCTTAATAATTTTGATAAATTGATCTTGTTATTATCCCCATTATACAAATGAGAAAATCAAAATCTAGAGAGGTTATCCCCACATTTCTTTAAACCAAACTGTGATGACTGATAGAAATTTAGAGCATGTGATCTACAGTCTCCTTTAACATCTCACTATATCATCAAAAGTGGAATGGAAATATGTTTGAAGAGTGGATATAGAAGTTATCAGGGATGCTACCTGCTTTTCTTGAAACCAGAAATGTTCACTCCTTGCCCTGGTAGACTGCTGGAATGAAGCAGAAGGTGCAGTCAGCAGAAACTTGAAAAACCAATTGTTTGAAAAGAAAAACAATTATTGATAGACAGTTCCTGTCCGTGAGTCACAGAAAGTAATTAGGATTTGGTTGGGGGAAAAAGAAAAAAGTACACAGGAAATTTATCAAGGTATTTCAATTATAATTATAATATTATAATAATTGAGGTAGCATGGGATTCCAGAAGAGGCAAAATATAAAGATCTCCTAAGGGACTACTAGATGACCAATCCTGCTTACTAATTTGTCTTAATTTAGAAACTCTATTAAAACCTGTCTACCATTGGTAACCCTTGTGGCATTTGACACACCAGTGGCATAGCTTTCAGTATCACAGCAACCCACGAGTTATCTCAGTACAGTAAACTGACAGACAACTGTTGTACCAATTAGGACAATGTTCTCCCCAAACATAACAAACTGGCAGTTTGTAACTGTAATAGAAAAATCAGTCTTGGAGCGCAGCGAGCTCCGGGTGGCACCGAGCCACAGGAATGTCCCGGCGCAGCCTCTCCTTGACCCCACCGCTGCCAGTGCGTGTCTCCAGGAGGAGAAGGTAAATTTGTAGCGAAATTTAACGGACAATCTCCACAACAGATGATAACACAAAATAATCCAGATGGGGTGCAGATGCTGTAAGATGATACAAAGCTATCTCTTTGATCCGGTGCAGGTGTCTTCTCCTGGCTATATCAATGAAGTAAGCAGCTGCAAGTTAGATGAAGACAGCACTGGTAAATTAAAAGACAGAGCAGTGAAGTCTTGGTGCATAAAAATGACCTTCAAAGTGAGGGAGTAAAGAGAACTGAGAGCCGGAGCAGAACAGCCAGTGGCCGGGAGCCCCGCTGGTCTCACCGGGGACCTCTCCCTCCAGGGGACCCAGGAGGGAGCCACAGTGGGGACAAGGCTGATGGTGCCATCAATGGGGTTGGCCCCACTGCTGCTTTGCAACCCACTGGGAATCCCAGGCTCCAGTACGGCGGTGAGAACTCCTTGGACAATACTGCCAATGACAGTCTCCCGATGCTTCCCTTCCTTGAAGGAGGGGACACCAGGAAACAGGATGGTGTGTTACCAGCTGTAGAAGATACCCATGTCATCCAAAATGGAGACTCCGGAATATCTTCTAAGACAGAAAGTCTTGCCTTGGATGTACAAGACCACATCATACAGATACCAGCTCCAGATTACCCTCAACTTTGGGGCTCAGCTGTAGACAGTAGTGATCATGAAGAAAAGGATTGTCTTTTCCAGAACCATGCAGAAAATGAGCATCTGGATGACATTGTCCTTCATGGCATGGATCCGTCTACTAGGGAGAGGTGGGATTCGTTGAGCGAGGGCATGGCAACAGAAGTTCTAAGTGGCTCCTTTGAAGAGGAGGACATTGCTCATGCTGTGCCTGTGGTTGATGCTAAAAGTGGACAGGAGGGTGTCCATGGCTGCAGTGGGGATGGGAATGGAGAGACGGCGGAGGAGGATGCAGCAGTGGCAGAAGCACTTGCTGCTCTAGAAGCTGCTACTGCAGGAGAAGATACTGATGAGGTATATTAGGGGAGCGGGCTGTCAGGCAAGGACACTGCTGTGTGCACATAGCTGGGCATGAGGGATGCCTTTCTTTACATACAGAGCTGTAGTCCATCAGTGCAGCCATGCTGGTGGTTTACACCCAACTTTTGCTTTATTGTCATACCTATGCCATTCTGCTTGTTCCATAATTGGAACATCATTCTGTTTAGCTGAGCTATCACATAGGACATGAAAAGGAAAAAAAAATCAGAGTGGGCTGTCACACCCAAGACCACAGCAGACATTTGTCACCCCTCAACGTTCCCCAGAATACCCGATGTTCACAGCAGTGCTCTGAAGTCCCAGGTCAGTCCCAGAATCACAGAGCGGACTGTGTGACTGTGAATTTCCAATCTTGCTTTTGAGAGCCAAATGTTGGACTGAACCTGGTCAAGATGATGGCCCAGTGAAAGTGCCTACTGTATACCCCGGGCAAGGCTTACCTTTGGGGACAATCACCCAGGGAAACCGATAACTAACCATTTGTTTATCCATGAGTGCAGCTCCGCAGTTTTCTGGGTAGAGCACAAGTCACCAGTAAACAAATGGTCAGTCATTAGCTGTGAAATTGAAATACTTTAACTTTTTTACATGACTACTTTTTAATCTCCTTTGGGAGTGGGGAAGCTAGCCAAAGTAAGTCTTAAAATGTCTTGCATCATATTTGAGTCTTAAGTTCATGAAGTTTGGAAGAGAGAAGGAAAACGTGGATTGTTATATGCCATTAAATGCCTGATTCTGACTAAAATAAACCATATGTATTTGTCTTAAAAAAAAAAAGAAAAATCAGTCTTGACACCAAGCTTAAGGACCACAGACGAAAGGGCCCAACCAACTCTTAATCACAAAGGCCCACCCACTGAGTCCTAATTGATTTAAAAAGAGGTTTCCAGGCCACAACTATTGTTAATTGAATAAAAAAAAATGACCAAACAACTTACACATGATTGTTAATTAACTAAAAAAAAAAAAACTACCTACCTTCCAGAATTCATTTTCAAACAAGAGACTCTCAGAGAAGCCCCAACCAATTTTTATTCACAAACTTTTAAACTTTATTTAAAATTAAATTATTTTCAATTTCTTAAAATTAAGAAGAGAATGTTTCAAGATTATATTCTTTCTCCAAATCAATTCAATCTCTATGCTGAGTAAACTATTTGAGACCCTAGACTCTATGAAGAGAAATGTGGTGTCATGATTGAAGGGAGACTCTTCAATAACCTGCATTACGCAGATGACACAGCCTTGATTGCTGAAAGTAAGGAAGACTTGAAGCACTTGTAGTGGGATTGACAAGTAAGGTAGGACATTGGTTCAGTCCAAACAACTGGAAGTGACAATCAAAATGCAAGATTCAGATGGCACAAAAGAGATTTTTCTAGATGTCCAAATATATTTGCTGCAAGTCACAACACTTGATGAAGCTCCTTTTTAACTGATTTATAGCATATCTCATTGCAGAGGTGACCACATCATAATTGTCAGACCAGAATCAGGAGCAGCTAAGTTAACACATAATATTAACCATCACATCTCAGATAAGCCAAAGACTGTCAAAAAGAACAAAGCAGGAGGATTCACATTCACCTCAAAACCTATTAAAACTAAAGTGGTGAAAATATCGTGGTATTGGGCCATGACAGATACATAGACCAGCAGAACAAAACTGAGAATCCAACAGTAAAGGCATCTTCTCCATTAACTGGAAAAGAGTAACATTAGAAAACCGGGGTATACATTTGCAGAAAAAAGTGAAACAGAATCCATATTTCTTGCAATCTACAAAAATGAATTTAAGATAAATAGAAAACGCTAAATGTAAAACTTTACTCTTTCAAAGAAAAAAGAGGCAAACTTTGGAGCCCTAATAGAAGGCATAAAGATATTATTAAAAATAAATGAGAAGTGTTCAAACATCAGAAGATCTAAAGGCTTCAAGAAGCTCTGGTGGCTTAGCTGTAAGGGATTCCACTGTCAATTCAAAGGTTCATGGTTCAAT